GTTTGGTTTGGTTTGGTTTTCTTTTTTTTTTTTTTTGTGGTACCAGGGATTGAACTCAGGACCTCATGCTTGCCAGGCAGGCGCTTATGCCGCTGCCTGGTAAATCCCTGGCCCCTCCTGCGTTAGTTCTGGGTTGTTGATTTTGTTTTATTGTGAATCATTTTGCTTCTTTGTAGTTTGTTTATTACCAGCTTTGTTTTGAGCTGGATTTGACACTGATGCATTCTTCCACTTGGCTCTGGGGTAACTCTTAAGGCATATTCAGAAGTAGAGAGAGAATGTGTATATGATCGTACCAAAGCGGGACAGGAAGGATCTCCCTGAGGAAGGCACTGCTTGTTTAGGGTTACACAGTGACAGTAAGTGTGCTTTGGCACATAAACACACAGGCTTGATGGCCGTGTTTAAACTGCGTGGAACAAAGACCTCTTAGAGCCCCCCAAAGAGGAGAAAATACAGTATTTTTAAATCCCCAAGGATCGGGCCATATAACAGACAGTTTCTAAAAGAAGTCTTATGCTCTTGCCTTTCTTTTAAAGTTGCTACTCAGGGGTTGGGGATGTGGCTCAGTGGCTGAGCACTTGCCTGACGTGCACAAGGCCCTGGGCTTAACCTTTAGCACAACAAAAATAAAACGAGGCTACTCTAGTTCATTTGGCTGGACACGCCCATCTGTCAGCCAGCCAGATCTTCCTGAACCAGGGTCAGAATCCGTGCGTGGGTTCACCTGCTGTTGGCCCAGCCAGCTTGCTTTCAGCACCTGCGCTTCAGAGTGGAGAGAAAAAGCCAGGGAAGCTGACATATTCGTGGGGCTCCGGGTCGTTAATCACAACAGGGACTGTGCCCAGCTCCTATGTGCAGCCACCTCCAGCGTCTGCATTTTTCCTCACCCATAAACAGTACTTTTATGTGGGTACTTGCATTAAAAGGAAGGGTGAGTGGAAAGTTCCAGGCTGATCTCCAATTCGGAAGGGCCCAATGTGCCCCTTCCACCCCTGGGCCTTTGCTTTGTGGCCAGGTGACCGCCCGGGTGACTCTCTTCTGTCTTTCCATAACCTCCAGGGTCTCGGCGCATGCGCCTGCTCTATCTTTGTTCTGTCTTCTGCTCACGTGATTCTTCATCCTCTTTCCATCCATTGTCCCATTGCTGTTTTTCTGGCTGCAGCATGGTAAAATAGTATACCAGACGTGACTCTGCAACATCCAGTTTCAGTTCATGTTCTGCTGTTGTATCAGCTCTGCAGCCCTGGAAGAGGGCACTTAGCCTCTCCGAGTGGCTTCTTCTGTGTCAAATGAAGGAAGTGTGTTGTCCAAGGTTCCTTGCTCCCACACAGGGACGTGCAAGGGTCACCAGCTGCCTGCAGAGAGGTTTGCTCAGGCTGTCCAGCAATTTCAAAGCATTCGATTTGGGATCCCTGCCATTTACTCAGCCATTCAATTCTAGGAATTTTCTAATTTGGAAATTGTCACAGGCATACAGCCACAAAGATGTGCAGAATGCCCTCAGAACCTGCCTTTTAAGAATGAAGGCCAAAAGCATGGTGAAAGAGAACTGGGGGTTGAACCCAAGGCCTTGACAGTGATCCCCAGCCCTTTTACTTTATTTTATTTTGTTGTTGTTTTGTTTTGTTTTGTGGCAGGGTCTCGCTAAGTTGCCCAGGTTGGGCTTAAACTTACAATCTTTCTGCCTTAGTCTCCCAGAGTGCTGGGATTATAGGTGTGCAACACATGCCCAGTTCAAAAGCAAGTTTTGATACTGTGATTTATAATAAATTTACAAATATTTTATTGTTCATTCCCAGTTCCTAGCACAGAGCTCCTAAGAGATCTTTTTCTTCTGACCCTGGTCTGTGACTCTGGATGCTGACACAGCTCCTAATCTTGGGATTTCCTGGGCTATTGTAGCATCTTTTGTTCTTTGAGGCAGATTTTAATGGGTTCCTGGGTAGGGGTGGTCACCAGGAAGACCACCCGATGGTGAGAGGGTGGAACTTTCAGCCTCACCTCCGTCCTCCAGGCAGGGCAGTGAGGCAGGGGTCCGGCATGTCAGCATGAGGAGGCCTTCACCAAGACCCTGCACCGCTGGGCTGGAGAGTTCTGGGTGGCAGAACACTTGCAGGTGCTTGCAGGATGTTATGCCCAGAGACGGTCATGGTGCCAGAGTAGTGAACAGTGGACACCCAGTCACCACCCCTGGGGAGGGTCTTGGTGTGTGAGGAAGCCCCTTGCATAGATGGTATGAGAAGTGAAGGCCTGTGTGAGTAGGAAATCTAGTTTGTTTGTTTGTTTGTTTGCTTGGTTTCTTGTTTGCTTCCACAACTTCAATATGTAACAATAAAGCATTGGTTAGTGTGCACCGCTGAGTCAGTGACCCGATCACTGCCTTTGGAAGGGCAAAGCAGGAAGACAGGCAGTCCCTGATCAGTCAGAGAGGCAGTGTGTGGTGTGTTAGCAACAGGGAGCACTTCCGGGTCAGAGTGCACACTTAACACCCACAAGGCCCTGGTTCATCAGCAGCACTGCAGAAGACAGGAAGCACTGTGGCAAGAGGCAAGTGAGCAGGTCACAGGGGACCCTACACACAGCAAGGACAGCACTAAATATGGGGCCAGGTCAGCCTCACAGGGAAGGACTCGAAGTTGCCAACAGAATCAGCTGCACGTACACCGAGGAGTGCACACTCCAGACTGGGGGGCGATGGGGAGTACTGCCAGTGCCAAGGCCCTGGGGCAGGAGCTCACCAGTGTATTCAGAGAATCACAAGGACACTGGGGATTGAGCCAGTTGAGTACAGGGGACACTACACTGGGTGTGGGTCATGGGTTTCATTCCAAGTGAAATGATTAGGTCTTTGCAGGGTTTGGATAGAGAAGTGATGATTTTATTTAAGGAACCATCTGGCCACTGTGTTAAGAATAGGCTGGCTGAGCCAGACATGGTGGTTCATGCCTGTAATCCCAGCACTTGGGAGGCTAAAAAAAAAATAGGCTATCTGGCCCAGGCATAGTGACACACACCCGAGGTGCTGAGGCAGATTCAAGGCCAGCCTGGGCAAGACCTTCCCTCAAAACAAAAACAGGCTAGGGATGCAGCTCAGTGATGATAGCACTGCCCTGGGCTTGACCCGCAGTGCTGCAAATGAAAAAAAAAAGCACTTGGGAAGTTACTGTTCTCAGGCAGGAGCAGTGGGGTGATTCCGAGGGAGAAGCCCCGTGGGGATGACGAGAAGCAGCTGGCTTCCAGGTGCATGTCAAGGGGAAGCAGCAGAACTCGCCGGCACGCTGGAGGTGGGGTGCTAGAGATGGAGACAGAAGAGTCCTCAGATGTTGGGATGAGGACTGGAAGGATGGAGCCACTGTCAACTGACCTGGCTGGGGAAGGTGGAGCGGGGTGGGAGACAGGATCTGGACCTTAGTGTGGAAGCTTGAGCAGTCACTTAGACATCCCAAAGAAAATGGGTGTTTGTTAGCTGCTGCTCCTCAGATGTCTCCAGCTGTTCAGAGGAACCAACGCTCCAAGTAAAGGGCTGAATGTAAACGTTAGGGGTTTTTGGCATAGTTGAGAGACAGAGAGATTTTTTTTTTTAAGCCTTTAGCTGGTCGTGGTGTCGCACACCTGTAATCTCAGCACTCAAGAGGCTGAGGCAGGAGGATCATTGCAAGTTTGAGACCAGCCTGGACTGCCAAGTGAGCTCAGGGCCAGCCTGAACTGCATAGTGAGAGCCTGTCTCAAAAAGAGAAAAAGAAAAAAGCCTTTATTGCAGGTATGGGAGGGCTGCTGGAGCCTGCAGGGTCTCTCAAAAAAGAGGGAGCTAGGGAACAGTTTTTATGGAGTTGGGCTGAGGGGGAAGCACTTGAGTGGTTTACAGTCTTGGGATTGGAGAGGGCTGGGCACAGGGAGCAGGAGGTTTATTTCTGGAACTAAACGCACAAGTTACTTTTGGAGAGATATACTCTGGGACCCAGTGCCAAGTTGGGTGGGTGCCACATTAGAGTTAGCTAAGCCCCTGGCTGGCAGATTCCCATCAATAAACATGAGCATGAGGTGAGGTCAATATCAGGTGACCCTGCCTCATCTTAGCTGCACGCATGTGCACAGCCAGAAGAGGCAGAGACCGTGCCAGAGCCTTAACGGGGTCGTGGGGTGAAATTTTAATAAGTCTTAATCACGGGCACTTTTTAAGAATATTTATTTTCCCAGGTCTCAATAATTTGTATAGAGGAAGATGTGCTCCCAAGGGGAGGACTGTGACTTTCTTCTGTCACAGAAGAAATTTTTTATTCATTTTTTTTTAATTTAATGAATCCTAGAGTTTTTGTTTTTAACCGCGGTTAAGCTGCTGAACCCGTGGACTGCTCTTTCTTTTTTTATTCCTTACAGTAGGAACAGTGTGTACCAAGTGCCTGTTTTTCATGTAAAGCATTTCCTCATCATGATCTGCTCCCAAAATTAGAAACAGCAGCACACCCTGGTAATCCCGGGACTCAGGAGCCTGAGGCAGGAAGATTGCCACCTGTTGAAGGCCAGCCTGGGCTATATAAAGTGAGACCCTGTCTTAATCAATCAGTTGATCAGTTGATAAACAGATAATAAAGATTCATAACTTACACTTTTAATTGGAGATTGTACCCAGGGCTTTGGCACTATGTCCCCAGCCCGTTTTTTTGTTTTTTGTTTTTTGTTTTTTGTTTTTTTGAGGCAGAGTCTTGCAAAGTTGTCTGGGCTGGGCTTGAACTTCGATCTCCTTACCTCAGTCTCCTAGAGTGCTAGGATTACATCATGTGTCCCAATGCCTGGCTTGTGACTCTCTAAATCCTGCCAGATCACTCCACAGAAAAACTGACCAATCTAGAATTCTGGCAAATGAAAGAAGGCTACCAGGGCTGTGGGAAGATAGTTTCTCCTGTTAATTCAATCTTAATGTCACACTGACACCGAAAAAGTACTTCCCATTCTTTTGGGGCCCTGGAGGCTTCATACAGCTCTCTGGTCCCTTTCAGGTGTGGGCATCGGCGTGGTCCACGCAGGCTACGAGCGGCGCCTGGCCCACCACCTGGGGGCGCACAGCACGCCCTCCATCCTGGGCATTGTCAACGGCAAGGTCTCCTTCTTCCACAACGCGGTGGTCCGGGAGAACCTGCGGCAGTTTGTGGAAAGCCTGCTTCCCGGGAACTTGGTGGAGAAGGTGAGTGAGTGGCCACTGGGGACAGTGGCTGAGAAGTGGCTCAGTAGGAGCCTGGACACTGACTGGGAGGACTCTCAGTGACCCTCGGGCCTGACACGTGCAAATTAACCCTCAAACCAGCTCATTTCATTGACATCCTTAAACGATGAGTGTTGGGACAAAGTACGGAGACTGAAAGGGTTCATTCTCACCAAGAATCATCTGTTAGCTTTTGCCTGTCCTAGAAATCTGAGCCGAAAGTTACAGTGATGCTTTTCTAAGCAACCACAATAGTTAGATCATAGCATAAGAGAAGAGATTGTTCTGGCTCATTAATTTGCTTATATAAAGGTATTTGTCTTATGAATATGAAAATATTCAAATTATATTCATATATTCAATTATATCTGTAGAAAACACTATATTCAATGAAATCATATTATTTTTGAAACTATAAAGACTTACAGTGACACAATACAGATAAATTTTACAAAGAAAACATTAAAACAAAAGAAGCCAAACAGTTTTTTTTTCTTTTTAAAGCACTTTTTTTTTCCAACTACATTAGGATAGGTATCAAAGTTTCTAGCAAAGGGCTTTTATTTTGCTTTAAATTCATTCTTTTAACATTACCAGAGAAAGGGCCAGGGGTTTAACTCAGCAGCATAAGTGCCTGCTTGGCAAATGCAAGGTCATGAGTTCAATCCCTGGTACCAAAAAAAAAAAAGTTACCAGAGGAAGATCTGGATATGGTGGTGTACACTTCTAATGCAAATACGAGGGAGGCTGAGGCAGAAAGATTGCAAGTTAAAGGCCAGCCTGAACTACTTTGCAAGACCCAGTGTCACAAAACAAAGCAGCCAAAAAGAGAACCTACAGAATTGTCTATCATATTTTCACATGCAGTATTCATAACTGTCCTGTGAATATCATTGTTCACGTGAGAAATAGCTTAAAAGGTCAGAGAAACCCACGCACTCCTGATGATAATAGCTGCTGGGATGGGTTCTCCAGCATTTGCAAAACAGCCATCCTATGCCAGGCGTAGAACACCTACCTGTGGAGGACTCTGCAAGCAGCTTCCGGGCTGCTGGGTGGTTGCTTCCATTCAGTGCCTTGGAGCCTGGAAGAGGCGTCCTGGCAGAAAAGATCCCTGTGCTGCTTCGCCAGGCTAGGGGACAACAGGAAGGTGTGGGCTGCCGGCCTGCAGAGCTCCTGCTCGTGTTCAGGAGTTGCTGGTGAGCAGGATGGGGTGAGGTTAGAGCTCTCCACCACGGGGCCTCAGAGCACTCCAGGATTGGTAGGGAACTGGGACCTTGGCCAGCTGGTGACAGCGCAGTTAGAGGAGTGAAGCAGATTTGGACATTTTCTAGAACATTCCAGGTACAATATAGAGAGAAACGTTATTAAATGACCATGAGAAGTTTCTGCTGATGCTTTTAATTTGTTCCCTAAGAAAATACTTTAAGAGATAAAAAGTAACACTGGGTGGTAATGAATGAAAATGTACAGATGGGACAGGCCACTTTATTCTTCTGTGCACCGTTTAAAAATGGCCAGTGTCAGGCCAGTGGGTTGCTCCCAGGTAGAGGGCTGTCGTCTCCCTGGACTCCATCCCCAGCACTGGACCAAGGGGAAAGGGCAGGTGTGGTGCTGTGCTGCAGGTTAGTAGATAAACAATCATGGATAAACAGGCTCTGCGGGCCTGGTGGTGGAGCAGTGCGCACGCACACTCAAGTTGTGTTCTCTAATTAGCAAGAACCAACTTTAGAAGCTCAACTTTTATAATAGGATTATTTCAGTCTGAGCTGAAGTGGATGAAAATTCCAAGTCTCTATTCTTTTTTAAATTTTTATGAGTATATAATGATTACATTCATCATAGAGTTGGTACGTGCATTAACACATCGTGTTTTCTTTTTATTCCTCTTCCCGTCCCGTTTTCCTCCTCCCTCCATCCCTTGGTCCCCTTTCCATCTGCAAAAGGTGTATCTTCCTGCTTCCTAGTGTCTACCTTTTTATTTTGCTCTTATTTATACTTTTAATACTTTAGTCAAAAGAATTAGTTGTCTTTGGGGGTCTTGGCTTGGGGAAGGGTTGTTTTTGTTTTTCATTTTTTGAGGCAAGATCTCACTGTGTAGCCCAGGCTGGCCTCAAATTCAAAGTGATCCTCTTGCCTCAGCCTTCAGAGTGCTGGGATTATGGGCATGTATCCCGAAACCCAGATTGTATTTTTAAATTTTTGCAAATAATCTTTTCTACATATTTGATTTATCTCCTGATTAGAGTATAACATAGTTGTAAAGAATTAACAGTTGTCTCTAACATTCTGTTTTCAATTTAAGGTTACAAATAAAAACTATGTCCGATTCCTCTCCGGCTGGCAACAAGAGAATAAGCCTCACGTCCTTCTGTTTGACCAGGGGCCCTCTGTGCCACTGCTTTACAAGGTACCCATATGCTGACTGGGGTGCTCGCATTTTTAGGGCGCAAATAATAACCTGTTCATCCTTACTGGAAGTATAGTTAGAGCATCCCTGATCTGTTCGTCCAAAATCTGAAATGTTCCAGTCTGAAACTTTCTGAGCACCAACATGAAAGAGAGAGAGAAATTCCACATCAGAGACCTCGTGTGGTGTGGCTCAGGAAGGCGCAGACTCTTGGGTAAATTACCATCAGGCTGTGCTGGAAGCACGTACAAAGCAAGTGAGTCCAGTGTGTAGACTGCTCACATCCTCGGGGTCTCTCACTACACATCTCCTACGCTAACACTTAGGACCGAAAGAAAATCTAAACCACTTTGCATCGCTGGCCTTTCAGGCAAGGGATGCTAAGCCCAGAATTGTTGCTTACATGAGAATATTTGGAAACCAGAAATGTTTGTTAGCCACCTCACACTGAGCACTTGCTGCTGCTGGTCACTGTGCTAATGCTGCTCACATACTCAATGTCACTTGGCCTCGGAAGAAGCCACTGTCAGGGACACCACCCATATTTCATAGACTGAGATGCAGAGGGCATACGAGGTTGCACAACCCACAAGGTCTCACCCTGCACAGTGGTGATGCGATGCCCCTGAGGCCCATCTGCCTGGGCACCTGCCCTGCTGATGACTCCTGTACCCTGGGCCCTGCATACCTTTCACCGTCACTGTCACTGACATAGAGAGGGAAAGGGTCCCAGCCTTAGGCACAGTCACAACCATCTGGCATAATGTGGGTCCAGGTAATTCCTCAAACCCATGGCTCTCACCTAGGACAAATTTCCATAAGACAATAATTTATCATTGGAGAAAAGAATTAGTTGCATTGGCCTTTGTTGGTGGTTTGCACACGGAGACTGCTGTAGAATTCTGGGAAGTGTACAGATAACCAGAGGTGGAGCTGGGCTATCTATGCTGAAGGAGGCAGATCCCCTGGACTAGTCGTTTAGGTCTGTTTCTCTCTGTCCTGCTCTCACAGCTGACTGCATTTGCACACAAAGATTACCTGTCATTTGGCTATGCGAATGTGGGGGTCCGAGGGGCGGAGGAGATGACGCGGCAGTACAACATCAATGTGTACGTGCCCACCATCCTGGTCTTCAAGGAGCACATCAACAAGCCCGCCGACGTGATGCAGGTACGTGTGGGGCACCACGGCTTCGTGCGAATGAGCAGAGCAGGTACCAGGGTGGAGAAACTAGTTTCCATTTCTTCTGCTGATGCATAAAATTTTAAAAAGAAGGTTTTTGTGTTTTCTTTTCATCTGACTTGGCAGTACTTTGCATAAAAATATTTTATTCTTAAGTGTTCCTGATGGAAAATTAATAATCTAAACTGGGTGCAGGGGCACACACCAGTGATCTCATGAAAGAGGGGGTACCATAAAATTAGTGCAGCCAGGCGAGGCAGTGCACTTCTATAATCTCAGCATTTGGGAGGCTGAGGCAAGAGAATCACTGTGAGTTCAAGGCCAGCCTAAACTAATACCAAGTCTGCAGTACCTGGGCTCGAGCAATTCTCCTGCCTCTGCCTCCTAATAACCAAGTCCATGTCTCAAAAAAAATAAAAATATGGGGCTGGGGATTTAGCTCAGCGGCATGAGCACCTGCATTGCAAGCAGGCGGTCGTGAGTTCGATCCCCAGTACCGATAAAAAAAATAAATAATAAAATTTTTAAAAATACTAAATAAATATTAAAATAGTGCAAAGAAAGTCCACAGAATCAGTGATTGTATGTGCCACACACATAAACAAAAAGCCTGGGGAAAAAACAAAGATGAGAACATATAATTAACTGCTCCAAATCAAGAATTTAAAAAGACATATCACCCAGTAGGGAAAAAAATGGGTAAAATAAAGTAAAGCAGTACTATTCATACTAAATTGATTTTGATCTTAGAAAATACTGGAGTGTTTTGTTTTGTGTTTGGAGTCGTTTTGTTTGCAATGCTGGGGCTCAAACCCAGGGTGTCGTGCATGCTAGGCATGTGCTTTACCATTGAGCTCCAGCCCAGCCCAGTATTTTTCTTTAAAAGTAAGTCATTTGGATTAACATGTACAGGTTTTGCTTTTTAATTTCTAAGGCAGCAAATAAATGTCAGTAATAAAGCTCACATAGGAACTGGGCTCAGTGGTAACCCAGCTACTCAGGAAGCAGAGGCAGGGGAATTGCTCGAGCCTTGGCAATGTGGCAAGACCTGCATCTCTAAATGAAAGAAGGAACAAATCCATCCTGCATAATCAAAAACTTTGGGATCTTCAGTATTTCTGAGAGTATAAAAGTGTCCTGAGATCAAGCAGTCGGAGAACTGCGGCTGCGGGTCTGGCTAGAGAAAACTTGCTGGTGCCTGGGATGTGAAATTCCCCACTCCTGGGGGTAGCAGGGTTTTCCAAGGTCCTGAGAGCTGTCGCACTTCCACGGAGGTGTGTGAGTTCCACCCCTCTGCAGCCTTCCCCACACCAGTCCAGTTTACTGTTTCCAAGTCAAATGCCGATGTGAGGGCATCGCCTTGTGTCTCTGCTTTGTGTTGCCCTTAATTCTAAGCAGTCAAGGTGTCCTCTCATTTGTATGTGAGCCTTTCGGTCTCCTCTGGGTGATGCACCTGTCTGTTATGTTGTTGACCACATTATCCATCTGTCTCTGTTCTGATTTGTAGCAATTATCTGTACATCTTCTCATCTGTAGCACTGTTTTTTTCCCTAGTCTTTTGGTTATATGTGTGACAAACAGCTTCGCCAATTCTGTGAGTCACTTTTGCAGTATTTTTAAGGTATTCGCTTTTTAAATTATTTTTAAATCTTTACATAGAATACATATGTAAAAGGATATACATGTAGGGGCTGGGGATTTAGCTCAGTGGCATAAGCACCTGCCTTGCAAGCGCATGGTCATGAGTTTGATCCCTAGTACCAATTAAAAAAAAAAAAAAAGGATGTACATGCCAGGTAAGTGAACTGTCACGTAATGAATACACGTGCTGGAGAGGAATCATCCCAGTCCCTTCTTCCGCCCTCCCAGCCACTCCCCTGCTTCCCAAGAAGAGCAGATCCTGCTCTCAAATGTGCATTTGGCCCATTTGCTGCCACACAAAAGGGTGTCACAGTGTGAACAGCTGTCTCTGGCTTCCCTCGACTTGAGTTGTCAAGTTCCAGACATGTTCTGAGGTGTAGCTTAATAACTGTCCACTTTCATTATTGAAATGGTATGGTTTGAATTGACTGCAGTGTATATGTTCTGTTGTTTGTTTGTTTGTTGTTTTTTCGTTTCTGGCTATTTGAATAACAATGCTGGGACCTTGATAGTTGCTTTGTTTTGTTTTGTTCTGTTTTGTGGTACTGGAGATTGAACCCAGGGATGTCACACTGAACTATAGTCTCAGCTCTCTTTTTTTTTTTTTTGAAACAAGATCTGTATAGTTCAGGCTTGAACTCACTGTGGAGCCCAGGCTTGCCTCAAACTCTCAAAGATCTCCCTTCCTCACCGCCGCCCCCGGAGTACTGGGATTACAGCTGTATGTCACCACACCCACCACCAACCCTTGTTATTTTTTTGTTTTGAAACAGCCTTACTAAGTCACGAAGTTGCTTAGTCTGGCCTGCAACTTGTGATCCTCCTGCCTCAGCCTCCCAGAGTGCTGAGATCAGAGGTGTGCACCTCTCCACCCACCACGACTGCATCCTTGTAGTCTTTTAATAAATGTAACTGCTTGCTTTTAATGTAATCAGATTATGAATCGTTCTCTTTATGACTGGATCTTGTCTGTCTGTAAAGCATACAACGTACATCAAGGTCTCGAAGATATTCTCATAGAGCCTGCAAGTGTTCTGCAGCTTTGCCTTTTATGTTTGGATTTTTAAATCATTAGAAAACAGTCTTGATATCTGATAGATCTCATTTTGTTTTTGGCTTAGGGGGGAGGTTTGCTGTGGTTTTTTTTGTCTTGTTTGTGACTTTCGAAAGTATCTTGGCTATTTTTGTACTTGGTATGTTTTGTGTATGTTTTGAATACTGCCAAGTACATCAGAAGAAACAAAGGAAAACTCTATTAGCATTTTAGTGGATTTGTGCTGGTTATTTAAATCAGTTTGGGGAGTTTGTACTGAATGTTTTGAGTCAGTTGATTTTTTTTTTTTTTTTTTGTACCAGGAATCAAATTCATGATCTTGCGCTTGCGAGGCAGGTGCTTATGCCACTGAGCTAAATTCCTTGCTGTTAATAGATATCTTTACAGAATTGAGCCTTCTACCTACAAACATGATATATCTGTTTTATTGCTTAGGTCCTTATAAAGTGTTATCATTTTCTTTAAAGACTGTGTTTTTGCCTCAGCTTGTTACATGCTTCATATTTTTGTACTGTTGAAAGAATATCTTTTTATTATATTTTATGTGTGCAAGTAAAAGTACTAAAATTGATTTTTTTAACACTGACTTTGTGTCAGGCTGGGGATTTAGCTCACTGGCATAAACGTCTACCTGGCAAGCACAAAGTTATGAGTTCAATCCCTGGTACCCCCCCAAAAAAAAGCTGGGCGTGGTGGTGCACTCCTATAATCCCAGCACTGGGGAGGCTGAGATAGAAAGATCGTGGCAAGTTTCAAGGCCAGACTGGACTACAAAGTGAGCCCAAGGCCAGCCTGAACGGCATAGTGAGACCCAAATTACTGACCCTGTGTCATCCAGCAATCTGACCAGACTCTCTTACTGGCTTGAAGAATTTACTGTATCATTGTTTGGATTTGCTGAGTACACAGTCCTGTGATCTGAGCATAGTGACAGTTTTGCTGCTGCCACTGCTTCCACACCCTGTTTGTTTCATTCCGTGCCCGCTGCTGAGCTCTGGGATGCAGTGGAAGGAAGGAAGGGACAGAGGTCCTCCTTTATTCTGACCTCAGAGATCGGGAGGTCTTTCAATGTTCCCCAGTACTCTTCGTCAGATTAAAGAAGCTGCTTTTATCCTTTGTTGTCTTCTTGTTTCTATGTTTATTTTTCCCCAGTCCTGGAGATGAAACCCAGGGCCTTCATGCTGAACTGTGTCCCCGACCTTCTTACTGTTTTGAGATGGGGCCTCTTAGCTTGGAACTAAAATTGCAGGCCTCCTGCCTTCACCTCCCAGAGTGCTGGGGTTACAGACGTGCAGCACCACACCCGGCCAAGTCCTTGTTGACTAAGAGCTTTTAAAGCATGAATAATGTAGATGCTGGAGCTTGGACCCAGAATTTTCCAAGTGCTAAGAAAGTATTCAAACACTACCACGGAGCTATATCCCCAGCTGTTTCTGGGTTTGTTTGTTTGTTTGGTTGGTTGGTTGGTTCTGTTTTTGGTTTCATTTGGTTGGTTTGATTTTTGAGACTGGGTTCCTGGGCTCAGCCTTAAACTACCTAGCCTCAAGTGACCCTCCTGCCTCAGCTTCCCAAGTAACTGGGATTGCCAGTATGCACCCGTGGGCCCAACTCAACGTTACAAATTTTAAGATTCGCCTCCAAAGTGTACTACTTCATCTATGTCCCAAAATTTTGATAAATAGTATTTTCATTAATCATTTAAATTCAAAATACTTTCTAATATAAGATAGACTTTCTTTCTAGATCAGTTGCTTATTCAGTATATGGTTTGTTTTATTTGTTTTGTTTGTTTTTTGATACTGGGGATTGAACACATGACCTTGCACCTGCCAGGCAAGTACTTGTGCCACTGTGCTAAATTCTCAGCCCCCAGAGTATGTTTTTTAATTTCTAAACATTGCGTTTCAGGTTTATATTTTATATTAAGTTCTAGATTAAGCACAACACAGCACACAGAAGCCCCCAGGGGAGAGAGGCCTTGCTTCTTCCTCTGCTCCAAAATAGCTCCCTCGTCAGCACTGTGCATTCGTGTGCTTAGACAGCCCCGTGTGACCGTGACCTGGCTGAGGTATTGGAGCCAAGGCCACCACCACCTTTGTATCCCACCCCCAGTGAGAAAACCGAGTCACAAGCAGCCGCCTCTCGGTTTGTGTGCAGGCTCGAGGTCTGAAGAGGCAGTTGGTGGACAACTTTATCACCCAGAACAAGTACCTGATGGCGGCCAGGCTCACCAGCCAGAAGCTGTTCCACGAACTGTGCCCCGTGAAGCGGTCTCACCGCCAGCGGAAGTAAGGACGTGAGAGTCGCCTCTGCTTGTCATCGCACAGGAGGGGCCGATGCCATTGACCGCAGCATGGTCAGAGGTCTCCTCCTCGGTGACAGAACCTGGACCTGACGTACTGATCGACACCTGGGGTGCTGATGGGGTGGGTTAGTCCTAGGCACCTGAGGGCCAGCCTGGCTGAGAGGTCAGAGACCCCCCAGCATGTGCCGCTGGGTGGAGACCTGAGAGATGGAGTCTCTGTGTCAGGGAGCCCAAGTCACTTCAGTTGCTGTCCCTAACAGAGCATTACAGAGGAGCCAGGACAGTGATCAGACAGGACAGGCAGGTCCCTGGATGTTCAAGCAATTTGCTGGTTAAAGGGAAGGCTACCACTCCTTTACTTGGTAAAGTCTGTGAAAGGTGACTGTACAATTTCTTTTTTTCTTTTTTTGTCTTTCTCATTTTTATCGGTACCGGGGATTGAACTCACGACCGCCTGCTTGCGAGGCAGGTGCTTATGCCGCTGAGCTAAACCTCCAGCCCCTGACTGTACAATTTCTAAAAAGGTTGGAAAGTCAGGGAAATCATTGATCATGCCGTTCTCAGATCAGCCGGCAGCAGCTTTACATCTAGAATTATTGTATTTAGTGCTCGGAAAGGGGCTCAAGAAGGAGTAAATGAGCCCTGAGCTCTCCCTGGGACCGTGCAGAGGAAGCCCCTTCAACACGGGGGTCAGGGGCCTCTGGTGTGAGATAGATCCAGCCAGACCCCACTGTAGCGGGACAGAGAGCTGCTGAGAGCCCCTTTTGCAGTAGGGACTCAGTGACCAGCTCCCGGATGTCACGGAGAGTTTGCCTGGGGAAAATGTCACCAGTCTGGACAGGGGGGAGGTCATTAGAGAGTCATTGGCGTCCTCTCTCCTGAGAGACCAAAGCTTGCATCACACAGCCGTGTGCAGCCCTCTAAGCCATCTGCGCCCCTCTGTCACCTTTGCTGTCGGGCTCTAGTCCCACCTGGGTTGGTTACAGAATCTCCTCTCTTGGTCTTGTGCAGGTACTGCGTGGTTTTACTGACTCCCGAGGCTACCAAGCTGAGCAAAGCCTTTGAGGCCTTCCTGTCCTTTGCCCTGGCCAACACGCAGGACACGGTGAGGTTTGTGCACGTCTATAGCAGCCGGCAGCCGGAGTTCGCCAGCACCCTGCTACCCCACAGTGAGGCGTTTCAAGGCAACTCAGCGGTGAGCCCCGGGTTCTCTTGATCCTTCTTGGAGCAGGGGATGAAGCTCAGTGGTAAAGAACTTGCCTAGCATGGTGAGGTCTGGGTTCCATCCCCAAGACAGAAAAGGTGATCAAGCTCAGCTTCGATTTTGTCATCGTTTTGATAATCATGGAAAATCTCTCTAAAAACCAAATCTTGGTTATTATAATTTTAAGTTAGAGGTTATAGAACGAAGTTTATTTTTTAGAAAGTTAAACTATAAAGAACAGTTCCTTTTAAGCCAGGCATGGTGGTACATCCCTGTAATCCCAGTACACAGGAGACAGGAGGATCGATGCATGTCTGAGGCCAGCCTGGACTACATAGTGAGTTGAAGGACAGACTGCACTACATAGCAAGACCCTGTCTCAAAAAAAAAATCCTCTTTAGAAGGCTGAGCCAGGAGGATTGCTCGGCCCTAGGACTTCAAGGCCAATTTGGGCATAACAATGAGGCCCTGTCTCATTCATGAATGGATGCATGCATGCATGTCAGGAACAGTGGTGCATACTTGTATGGGGCCAAGTGAAAGGCCAGGCTAGTGAGACCCTGACTCAAAATAAAAATAAAAAGGCTTGGGGATGTTGCTCAGTGTGAGCACCTGCTTGGCTTGCATGAGGCCCTGGGTTCCATCCCCTGTACTGCAAATCCATAGTTCCTTTGTCAGGAGGATTTCAACCCCCTGCCAGTATTTCAGACTCCAGGTATTTGTGTTGGCGCTTGGTACTGACTTCACGAAACCCTTGCGTCCATCATCCCTGGAGAGAAAACATCCACTCACGGCTTTCTCTCCTGCCCCCAGGTATCTATCTTAGAAAGGCGCAACACAGCAGGAAGAGTGGTGTACAAAACCCTGGCAGAGCCCTGGACTGGCAGCAAGAGCGATAAGTTCATCCTGCTGGGCCTCCTCGACCAGCTGCGGACGGATCCAGGCCTCCTGGCGTCCGAGGCCGTGCTGCCCGACCTGACAGATGAGCTTGCCCCAGTGAGCATCGCCAGGGAGGCTGGGCCGTTGGCATAGCCCACGGTCTCCCAGAGCCGGTGACAGTGCCTCTGAGAGCAGGGGTTCCCGGCCTTCTGTGCTGGGGGTGGAGGACCCTCCCTCCAGGCGCAGTCCCAACCGCTCTATGTCTGTCCCCGTAGATCTTCCTCCTCCGCTGGCTGTACTCCGCTTCTGACTACCTCACCGACTGCTGGGAGACCATGATTCACAGTAACTGGTAGGAACCGGCCGGGAGCGCAGGGTCTCTCTGCCTCAGTACCATCCTTTTCCTGCGTGTGCCCTCTAGACCTTTCCATTGACTGCTCCCCTCTTCCTCCTCTCTAATCCCACATTTCTCTTTTTGCCAACTCCCCCTTCCCACTGGCTGGGAAAAGATCACCCTGGCCACCATGTCCACAGCAGAGCTGGGACCACTGGCCACTTCATCAGGGCCCCTGGTGCTCCACACGGAGTCCGCACTCAGGAAGGCCCGCGTGCAGGTACACGAGGAATCACTGAGGCAGTCAAAGGGGACACTCCCCCCCACCAGGCCCCTGCAAGACCGGTTCCTCGGTTTCTGATATCGCAGCATCAGAAACTGCCCTGTGTTTGCAGCTTAGGGCCTTTGTTACCCTTGTTATCACCTCACTTCTGCAGAATTTATTCAGCACAGCCTGTTACATACCGAGATGCAAGATCAGATTTTCAGAGTAAGCTACCTGTGAATTAGGGCACTGAGGAAACAAACTCGCTGTCACCCTCACCCCCACCAAAACAGCCCCCATTGTGCGGCAGTGTTCTCTGGGGCGGAAGCGTCCTTACTAGGGAGGTGCTGTCTCTCCTCTGCACTGGAGAGAGACCAGCACAGCACGAGCTGATGCAGCTGTGTGCTTCGTTCCAGGCGGGAAATGATGCCCCTGCTGTCCCTGATCTTCTCTGCCCTCTTCATCCTCTTCGGTACCGTCATCGTCCAGGCTTTCAGGTAGGTGCCAGGGCGGCTCATGGCATGCCTCAGGTCAGGATCCTTTGTTTGTGCTCTTTGTGGGGAGATGGGCACGGGGGCACACACCAGTCGTCCAGCTACCCAGGAGCCTGAGCCCAAGAGTTCAAAGGCAGCCTGGGCAATGACTGTGTCTCCAAACCAAACAAACCTTTTTTGGGGGTAAAACTCTTTTTTTTTTTTTTTTTTTGTCATTCTTTAGTGACTCCAGCGATGAGCGAGAGTCACACCCTCCAGAGAAAGAGGAGGTTCCTGAAAAGACCGGGAAGACTGAGCCGAGCTTCACCAAAGAAAGCAGCAGGTTTCTCTGAACCACTCCGCACTCTCTGCCCCCTGCACCTGGCCCCAAGGGTGCAGCCTGCCAGGGTGATGTGGGGTGTATAGCACGTAGAGGGCAGAGGGGCTCCGCCTCACCTTCCCGGCGCAAGCCCTGAGCATGTGTTAAGCATCCCTCATTCAGCAAGCTGAAATGTCAGATGCTCTAGAATCTAACCCCGTGTGCCAGTGTAACTCACAAGTAGAGCCTTGCACACCTGACCACATAGGACAGGTCACAGCCAAAGTGCAGGTGCACTAAAACTGCTCTGTGAAATTCTCTTAAGGCTGCATGGTGGCAACGACTGTAACACAGCAACACAGGATGCTGAGGAGGGGGATCGCCAAAGTTCAAGGCCAGCCTGAACTACACAGGGAGACCCTGCCCTCCCCCTCAAAGAAAAGGAAGAAAAAAATTACCTTCAAGCTACATGCATAGGTTTACATGAGCCATAAATGAGCTTCATATGTAGACCTGGGTTCCATTCCCTAAGGTATCTCCTGCTGTATATGAAATACAGTAAACTTTGGTTTGCAAGCATAATTTGTTTCAGAAATACGCTTATAATCCAAATCACTTATATTTCAAAGCAAGTTTCCCCATAAGAAATAATGGAAACCCAGATGAGCTGTTCAACAACCCAGAAATATTCGTATAAAAATGATTCATTACCACCAAGCATGGTAGGACATGCCTGTAATCCCAGTACTCAGGAGGCTGAGGCAAGAGAATCACCGTGAGTTTGAGGCCAGCCTAGAGTACATAGGGAGTTCAAGGCCAGCCTGCACTACATAGCAAGACCATCTCAAAAATTGTCATCCTGTAATATAATACAAAATAATAACACAAAATGTAAAGAAAAACAAATTAACTTGCATTTACCTTTGAAAATGAGAGGACGATTTTCACTATCACATTATAATGGGATCACTGCTCTCTGCTGACTCAATGGAATCTTTTTTCTTTTCATACACTTGAACAAGGAGCCTATCCAATGGCATTTGCTTTTACCTACCTTTGAGGATTTCACAGAAATGTGACATTGCATTGTCATTAAACAGATTGATCACTCGCAGTGCTATAGCCTTGTTCAGATGCTGCTTTTCTACAAAGTTTTGCACTGTTGCCCTCATTTTCCACATCTCCCTAATCTCACTTGGAGTGAGGGGTCCCTCCTTTTTCTCCTCCGCTTCCTTCTCTCCTCTCCTCCATGACCTCTTGATAGAAAAGGTTCACCCACCATCCTGCAGAGAGAGAGGGAGACAGACAAGAACCCCTAGCTGGGTCGTGATCCTGTGACATGCAGCACCGTGTCCTACTTGTATCGCAAGACATTACTGGGATTACAGGGATACTGGGATTACTGGCATGTCCTACCATGCTTGGTGGTAATGAATCATTTTTATATGAATATTTCTGGGTTGTTGAACAGCTCATCTGGGTTTCCATTATTTCTTATGGGGAAATTTGCTTTGAAATATAAGTTCAATTTGTTTGCTCATCTTCCAGAACACTTTCAAAAACAAGTCACTTACAATCCAAGTTTTACTGTATTCTAAAATTAAAAAAAAAAATTCTGCAATCCAAAGTCACAAGCATTTCACTCAGCCTGAACAGGAAGAGGTCACTGCTGACCTGTGTCCACTGAGACCTAGGTGTTTAGCTAGATGGTCATTTCCACCGTCGCTCCAGTTTCTGTGTCAGACGTAGTAATGCAGGCAGGCTGGCGGCCAAGAAGAACCCAGGGTAGTGACAGGAGACCAGCAGAGGAGCATTTCACCACCACTCCTAAGTGTGCCCATTAGGGTCAGCCAGGGTCTCAGAGACAGAGGAAACAGATGGGTTGATCTTCGTCCCCTTCATTCAGTCCTAAGGCAGCTTCTGTAGAGCTGAACAGGGCTGTTGACAGGGCTGTTGTAGGCCGGCGTTACCTGCACGAGAGTAGCTCTGTCCAGCCAGTGTGAATCCATAGTAACCCTCCCCCGTCTCTAAGACCCCAGGGTTTGGTCCACGAGTGCCTTCTTAAAGTAGGGCCATTTACCTCCCCTGCCAACCTCCTAATAACTCCGTGTTCCTCCACAGCAAGATTCCTAAAAAAGGCTTTGTAGAGGTCACCGAGCTCACAGATGTGACGTACACCAGCAACTTGGTCCGCCTGAGGCCGGGCCACATGAACGTGGTCCTCATTCTGTCCAACTCCACCAGGTCCGTCCTGCTGCAGAAATTTGCTTTCGAGGTCTACACGTTCACTGGGTAAGTGTGTGTGAGTGCGTGCATGCATGTATGTGTGCGTGCACATGTACAAGAAAGGACGGGAGAGGGAGAGAAAGCACACACTACAGGGTCCTCTTAGGTGAAGGACTATCGCATCCTTTCCTCCATGGCCATGTGGGGCTTTATCTGTACTGCAAGATGTCAGCTCTGCTTCCCAACCCGGACATCTGAGCCATCCCCAGGACCTCTTTCCTCACAGGCTGTTCATGTCCTGTTGGTAGTGTGCAGAGGGAGCTGGGCCTCAGTGCTATTCCCTGAGCTCTGTCGGGACACTGGCTGTTCCCAGCCCTCAGGCACTGCCTGAAGCCCGATACCAAGGAGCAAGCGGATGAGTAAAGGGATGTGGCTGTTGCCAAGACCACCTGGCTCCCCAAGAAATCCTTTCTTTCCAAATCCATTTTATTTCAATGAGAAAAAAAGAACAAAAAATATAACAAAATTTGAAAATACGCAGTGAGGAGTCAACAATGGTACATACATTGTGCATTGTCATCCCCAAATCATTCACCCGGAGCATAAGACCTCTGCCTTCAATTATCTGAACAGTACCAGCACAAATCTTTCTCTTTAGTGAACTCAGAACTCAGTAGTACAACTATCTTAACTATTTTTAATATACATAGTAATACATATATATAATATACTATACATATTTTGTAATATACATACACATATACATAGGGGTTTTTTTTTCAGCTTCTCACAATAATGAGACAATATGATTACACCTGTGTGTCTTATATATTTCACTTATGAATATGGTCTCAGGTCGCATCCATTTACCTATAAAAGTCTCCTTTATGGCTGAGTAGTACTCCATTGTATAAAAATACCGCATCTTTTTTATCTATTCCTCAATGGGTATTTAGGTTGTTTCCAAGATCTGGCTATTATAAATTGTGTTGCTGTAAACATGGGTGCACATATATCGCTATTGTATGTTCTTAATTCTTTTGGGAAGATACCCAGAAATCCTCTAGATCTGTGCTCAGTCTCTTCCTGATGCAAAGCCTTTTGCTGTTACCTCGCATCCCCTGTGGTCAGTGCGTCAGCAACGCCCTGAGTCCCTTCTCTGTTCCTCGGCAGGAGCAGCTGTCTGCACTTCTCCTTCCTGAGCCTGGACAAGCACCGGGAGTGGCTGGAATACCTCCTCGAGTTTGCTCAGGATGCAGCTCCGATCCCGAACCAATACGACAAGCATTTCATGGAGCGGGACTACACCGGCTACGTACTAGCTCTGAATGGCCACAAAAAGTACTTCTGCCTCTTCAAGCCCCAAAAGACAGTGGAAGAGGAAGAGACCATGGGGTCCTGCGGCGATCTCGACGCCTCCCTGCACCCAGGTGAGGCTCGGGGGAAGCCCTTGGGCGGCCCCGGGCCCAGGCCCATCAAAGGGAAGCTGAGCAAGCTGTCTCTGTGGATGGAGCGCCTGCTCGAAGGGTCCTTACAGAGGTTCTACATCCCATCGTGGCCAGAGCTGGACTGAGGGTTTCCAAAAGAGCCGTGAACTCTTCAGGTTTTTAACCAGTCCCCAGAACAGGTATTTTCAGGACTCAACCACCACAATGCACAGAGCATAGATTTTAGTCACTTCCAGCACAGTGGCAGGAAGGAATGAACCATACCGCAGGCTTGATGTCCCTAGATCAAAATACTTCTCTCCCCTCTGAGTTTTTTGGGGGTTTTTGTTTTGTTTTTGTTGTCGTCCTGACTTGAATGCCGCACTATTTAAATAGACCACGCGTTCCCTTTTGGTTACCTTTCTCACGTGCTCACATCCCCTTCCCGATCTGCCCCCTACGAAGCACAGGCTCTCCCTGCGTGGTGCGAGACCGAGCCCCAGACCCTGTTGCCCGCGATCACTTAGCTATTCCCGTCTCCCACCTCGGGCTGCTGCTTCTGCCACTTGCGCCACACGGAACAGCTTGCGAGTCCCAAGAGAGGCCTTGCTGCAGTCTTCCCTGGAACCGTGGAGCAAGCGCCGAGAAGTGTATTTTGGGGGTATCCCCCACGACAGTCTTTAAAGGCCCAGGGAGAGCGGGGTCTGCGTGTGAGGTTGGTTTCCCTCCCCAGCAGAGGAAGGAAAGCCAAAGCCTTGCAGCTCCAGGAAGGGTCCGTCCAGCAGGCTGCACTGTCATGATGCTGAGCCGCAGGCCTGTCCGTTTCCAGATGCCTTTCTGCCTCTGTCCGTCTAGGGTAAGGATGTTAGGAGCCATAACTCGTAACCTTGTTCTCTGAACGTAGATAAGCTGCTCCGGAGCCGTAGAGGTTAAACTGCCAGGGGTCAGGCGGGGGAGCCTCTTTATCCCGCGGTCTCTGAGTCGAATACCAGGCACATCTCTCTTCCTCTCAAGAGCCTCAGCGCTCTCAGCAGTCACCTTTTGAACATTGTTGCTCTAAAAGAACTGTTATCTTCAAATGAGCCAAGACTCATCTTAGAATCCCGACTTGCAGTGGCTGCCTTTCCACCTCTGGCCTGAATTCCTGAGTCTCAGCTGCATCGTTGCGTCCTTCCCATAGCGCCCACTGCTGCCCGAGGCCAGGGTCACCGTCACACCCATCACCAGTGCTTCATGCACCGCTGGCCCGACCGGGGTCCTGCCGGCCAGGAGCCAACGTTCTCTTTGTCTCTAGGGCCAGACCACCAGTGAAGTTGGGACACCTTCCAAGAGGGGTCTGTTCTGCTGCAAAGCAAAAGCCCTTTTATAAAACGAAGGGTGAGAATCAGGGATGGGACAGGTCCTGAGTTAGGGTTTCACTAATCATAATTGCTTTTAACTAAGCCACTCGGATCCTTGATACTTTAAACATTGAGCTACCGTGGTACGTAATGAATTACTTTGAGCCCAGGAATTCCTGCGGCATTTCATGGAGTCTGATAGCTTTATTAAAAAGTAAAGAACTCACTGCCAGGCATGTCTCTTCCACGTGACCCTTTAGCATGGATGCTGACTGTGGGTGCTTCATCTGCAGCCCCTGGCCCAGCTAGAACCCATCTCATTGGCTCCTTGGTGTACTGGCTGCAAAATTATTTTCTAGAGTTTTTCGTTTTCACATTTTGTTTTTTAATGGCCAGGTTGCTAATAGAAGAGGGTCCAGTAGTAAGTTATTTTTAATTTGGGATGATAATGAAATTCCTGGTTTTCATTTCTAAAAGCCAAAACCTCCCTCAGATGTGCTCGTTTTTTAAATTTGTATCATCAAAAGCACTCCCAACAGCTGAACCTTCTTCTGCTTGTGATAGGAAGAAAAATGGTGATGGAACTGACAATATTCCTGGCAAATGTTTTAGTCCAAATTTTCTCCTCCAGATCTTCTTCATGCACCCCAAGAGGAGACAAGGGCACTTTTATTTTCTATTGAACTTCACCCTTGACCGTGCAAGCCTTTTTCCTCCAGAATGTTGTTTCTGTGGTTTTTGTATAATTTTGTGTCAAACACGTGAGCCGTTGTGCTCCTCAGCCTGTGCTGCCATTTCTCATTGTGGTATATGTAATCCTGCAGGATCTGATCTTGGTTTTGACACCCAAGTCTTCCAATACCAACACTGATGTTTTAAGAAGCAGGTATCTGACCGATACGGACATGGATCGTGTTCAGTAAATGGGTGAAAACTAGCCTAAAACAGATGCTGGGGAATACGAAACCATTTCAAAACTGCTTCTTTTTGTATTGCTTAGGTATTGGTCGAAGTTTGTCTACCACAGGTTATCAGCCCCAACTCAGCAGAAGTGCCGTGAGCAGGCCTGGCCTCCCTTCCGGAAAGTGCCCTGGGCTCCAGACACTACTCAGTCATAGTTCGATCATGATTTTCATACAGGCCGACTTCTCATTCACATTTGTCATACTTGTAGCTTTTTATTTATTACTGTGCTAATCAATTTGCAGCTGCCATCAGGACATACATGTTTTCTTGATGTAAAAAGAAATGGGGCTGGACGTGGTGGACCACTTGTAATCCCAGCACTCAGGAGGCTGCAAGGCCATCCTGGGCTACATAGTGAGCTCAGGGCCAGCCCGAGCTATGCAGCAAGACTCTGTCTCAAAAAACAAAAAAAGAAGAAGAATGGAATGGGCTAATCTGACTGTGCTTTAAATGATTTGCTTTGTTTGGAAGTAGGAATTGGGAGCAAACACTCAGCTGTTTTCTTTACAATAGAGTCCTTAAAAGCCCCGGTGTGAGCTGGAGATGTGACAGAGCACCTGCTTTGCATGTGTGTGAGGCCCTGGGTTTGATCTCCACCCATCACCAAAAGCAACCAAAAACACTGATGCAAAGTCATCTTTGCAGATGAAATTCAGTTCATGTCAAATATCTTGTCATCAGTTCATGTCAAACACCTTCCCAAGAAGACAAATGTAGGGTAGCAGCTGCCGAATCTGTTCAAGGAAGATAATTATACTTGAGAAACCGATCAGAGAAGAAGGTGAATATTTTGCACTTTTGATACTCTTTGAAACAAATAACTTATTTGGCAAATTGTATCTTTTTATGTTTTGGGTTTGGGTTTTTTTTTTTTCAGGGTTTTTTGTTTGCTTTTTTTTGTTTGTTTTGGGATTTTGTTTTGTTTTGTTTCTTGTATTGTGAACAGGCACTGAAGTTGTTATTTGTTTTAAGAATATTACAGACTGGAAACAAATAAACTATTTTAATGTGTGTAACTATGCGGTAGCTCTTGCATTGCAAGATAAAGATTTTATCACAGATACATTGTCAACAAAATTGAATTTACATGTAACTCAACACATGCTCATAATCAGCATAATTCAACTGCAGGTTTCAGGAACCCTTGTCACAGAGAGCTCCTCACTTTAAAGAACAAATAATGTGCTAGTCATTACCCAGTAATCTCTTGTAATCCACAAACGAGCCCCCAAACTCAAGTTCAAAAAATGAGGCAAAAACATATTTTAAAAAACAGCGCTGATTTATTTTATCCTGGGCCCAGCGACACAGTGCAGTTGGACATCGCAAAAGCTGTGTGTCGCCTTTATGTACACATCACAGCTCACAAAAGTAAGGGTTATGGGCGTGGATCAGGAAATCTGTTAATGAGGAAGACCTTTGTTTTCCTCAGCAGAGAACAGAGGAGTCTAGCAGTAATTAACAATCTTTCTGTTACCTTATTTTAGCACCACATCTGTTATTTGTAGAGGGCAACAATGGTTAACATATCAATTAGGTTAGGTTTTACAATTCTTTATAGTGGAGAGCATTGATTAACATATCAATTAGGTCACCCAGAGGAAAAGAAACATGCATATAGAACAGTAGGCCGCATTACAGGTATTTTGGTATAATACAAATATAACCAAGCTCTTTTTGCTAGTGTACAACAAATCCAGGATTCTCGGAGGCTGAAGCAAGAGGATCACAAGTTCAACCCCAAGCCCAGCCTGGGTCATTTAACAATTTACCAAGACCCTGTCTTTTAAAAAAGTTAAAACAGGGCCAGAGATATAGCTCAAAGGCCCTTGATGCAATCCCCAGTACCTCACACACATACACACACAAAATAGCTAATGCAAAAACAGTATTACAGAGAATGGGTTAGAAGTTTCATTAAGGGCTCAGCTAAGTGGATTCTAGTTCAGAGACATTTTGGGCATCCTCCTTGAATTTGCATGTATTTTAATTTCTAAATTTTCATTTATAATTACAATAGTCCTAAAACTAAGGTACACACCCCTAAACTTCTAGAGACGGAGCTGTATTTTAAAAGAAGATTCTATACAAATATGGAAAATCACAGTATTATTGCATGTTTTTTAGTTTTCCAATTTTTAGATAACCTTGAAGTCTCCATCCCCTCCCCCGTATCCTCCACCATCTTTCATCAAAGGAAAAAAAAACCTCAGAACTTGGATCAGAGCTTAACCTTTCATGTCCATTCAAACTGCTCAGAGATAGTGGCTGTTTGGGTTACAGTTCTAAATGTCTGTATCTCACAGCCACGGCGACCCTTTCAGCAGAGAACTTTGTGGGCATAAACTTGCATACTCGAGGCTGCTGGCCTTACGTTCTGGAGACCTGGGCAGCGAGGCGTCTCTTGAAGACTCAGGCAGTTCTCACTTTGGGGAGAGCGCACAGCATCTCAAACAGCAGGTTTGCCGCCAGGAGGGCCGTGTTCCCTGCAGAGGAGGAGCAGCCAAGCTGGGGAGCGAGTGCCACCACCGCCCTCCCCTGCTAGCAGGCAAACCTGGAGATCCCCCAGCCGCTGCTTCTGACCCCAACTACGTGCCCTCTGTGGGCTGCGTGCCCTCTGTGGGCTGCCCGCCCACCCGTGTGCATGCTTCCCTGCCATTCTGCCTCCTCGGAGCCTCATCTGGAAATGAAAATCCACACGGTTCTTCTCTTCCCCGTAGATCTCTAATAATGCTGTGTATCATATTTATTATGTACCTCTGAACCTAAGAGCCTTAACTCCGGGTTTCTAAATTAAAATTACCGGGACAAGCTGGGCGTAGTGCTGCACACCTGTAATCCCAGCACTCAGAGGCTAAGGAGCGAGGACTGCAAGTTCAAACCCAACCTGGGCAACTTAGTGACTTAGTGAGACCCTGTCTAAAACTTTTAAAAGGTTAGAGATGTAGCTCAGTGTGAAGGCCCTAGATTCAATCCCCAGTACCAAACAAAAAAGCAAAAAACAAATCTGCTTAATGACATCTGCTTTTTTGCCCGGATAGGGTCTCATTATATTCACCATGTAGCCCATGCTGGCCTCAAACTCATGGCAATCCTCCTGCCTCAGCCTCCCAAGTGCTGAGATTACACGGTGTGCCTCCACACCCAGTCAGCATCTGCTCCTAAGATTTTTTTTTCCTCCTTCATCACAGAGGATTGAACCCAGGGGCATTTCCACAGAGCCCCATCACACACACACACTTTGCTGTGGGACAGGGTTTCACTGGGTATCCCAGGGTACCCTAGCCTCCAGATTACTGAGATAACCAGTGCACACCACCGTGCCCAGCTGAACATTCACTTTCCACTCAAATACCAAAGGAGGAGGAATTGCTCCACCTTGTCGCTGAACTTCAGACTGCTTCTTTGTCTTCCGCTGCCAGGCTAACAATACCTGGCTTCTTCCCAGGGGCTTCATTAGCGTTAATTAGCTGCTGTTTGCAAGGTGTGCTGTAGTAGATTTATTTTTTCACCGTTGGACATGTACCCAGCAGGCTCCCCAAGCTATTTAAGGGAACCTACCCATTTTCAACTTAGTAAGGAGGGTAACACAATTTAAACTAGCAGGTCTGAGGGATCGCAGCCTTCCTACTTACCAGAAACATCGTACTGCGGTGAAACCTCCACAAGGTCACAGCCCACCACGTTCAGGCCCTGGCAGCCCCGGATGATCTCGAGAGCCTGACCAAGATGAAAACCAGGTTGTCCACTGTGAATCCCTTCCAGTGAGACGCAGCCCTTAGCCAGGGCTGCTCCCGGAACATGCCCACTCTTGGAGCAGAAACTGTAAACACAGTTCACCGCAGCCACAAGGGTGGGCCCTGCCCCACCCCAGCTCACTTCTAGCCATCACACAGTCCACGCTGCACCCTCAGTGCATCCTCTGGGAGCTTGATTCAGGGTAAACTAGGGAGTTGCCTCGATAGGGAGGTAATCCCATGGTGTGTGCTTTTTAAATCTCACCCTGAACAGGTACACTGAGCATTTTTATGTATTTTATTTGGGTGCTGGGGATTGAACACTCAGCCTGCACATCTAAAGCCTGTACTTTACCACCAAGCGACACCTGCAGCCCCAAGGCTTAATGTTCACAGGAGGGGCAGTTGACATCACAGCATTGTCCCCATGAGCTGATTTCAGAGGGACCAGAGGCAGGTGGACCACCCAAGGGACACTCATATCCCAGAGAAGACATGAGACCCTGCCAAAACCAGTGCCCCCTCCTTCAGTATTCCAGCCTGAGGTCAGCCCTGAGATCGGTTAAACCCGGGTGCCCTGCTTATGAAATCCTATCCTGACCCTTAAAAAGACCCACTAAAGTCCTAGGAGCTAAGTAGCTCTCCCAGGGATCCACAGAGGAGCCTCCTCACCTGACTCGGGGTGAGACCAGCAATTTCAGGTGTCCCTGTCCCCGGTGCATAAGCGGGGTCCAAGGCATCGATGTCAAAGCTGATGTACAGGGGTTTGCCCCCCACCTGCTCCCGGACTTCTGCCATCAGGGGGACCAGCGACTTGAACCAGCAGTCTTCAGCCAGGACCACCCGGAAGCCCTGGGCAGGAGTCAAGAGCTGGAGGTCAAGGCCAGCTCCACACCGAAACTTTCCTGAGCCCTTCATCACCGACCCTCAACTGTCCTGGGGAGAACCTGTGCCCCTGTTTTACAGGTGAGCTAAGGAAATACAGTCAGAGCCAACCTGGGAGCTGGAGTCAGGGAGGAACTTCCCCAAAGCAAAGGAGCCACTTCAGGGGGTGGCTGCTTTCTGATGTCTCCCCCGACCAGCAGCGGCCTCCTGTCCCCACTTCCTGAACCTCACACAGTTCTGGTAAAGTTCTGGTCAAAGCCATCATGGCCCCTGTGCAGGCCATGAAGGGGACGGTGCTCCAGAGACAAGGGCGCTCAGCCTGTCACCTGGCTCCGGCTGTAGTGGTAGGGATCCAAGGTGGCGGCAGAGCCTCGGATGCCGATCTGCACCACCCGCTTGCAGTCCAGGAGTCCCTCGTCCACGCCGCGGCGGAAGGTCGTCCCGTGATAGAGCGTCTCCCCCAGAGCCTTGTCAGTCGTGTCCGTGTGGGCGTCCACATGCAGCAGTCCCACAGGGCCATGCCTGGTGACAACAAGGCAGCTCAGGGGCCAAGCGACCCCGAGAGACACGACAAGCTCAGCCACTTGGGACACCAAAGTCTGACAGCAGTTCATGGCCCAAGTGGGACAGCTGGCCTCAACGACCAGCCTTACAAATCACTTAGCATCTCAGACAGCCAGGCAGAAAACAGACACCTTGCTGCACTCACAGACATTGTCAATGACAGTAACAGTGACAATGAAGTGTGGCTCAGGGATGAGGCTGGCCAAGGCTGCACCTGTCAGAATCCTTTCTCCAACTGTGGCACCAACAGGAAGTGCCCCCCACCCCCGCTCTGCAGTAGGGGACTGAATCCAGGGCTGACACACTGAGCTCTGTCACTAGCCCCTTTTAGTTTTCTTTTGAGACAGGATCTTGCTAGGTTGCCCAGCCTGGGCTCAAATTTGGATCCTCCTGCCTCAGTCTACGACAGTGCTAAGATTGGAGGCATGTGTCATCACACCTGGCACAGCAGCAAGCTTGTTTGGGTATTTTGTTTTGTTTTGGTTTGGTTTTTTAAGGCAGGGTCTCACTGCCTTGAATTCACTATGTAGCCCAGGCTGGCCCTGAATACACAGCGATCCTCCTGCCTCAGCCTCCTGAGTTCCGGGATAACAGATGTGCGCCACCACACCCAGCTTCTAACAGCAAGCTTTGACCCAGTTCCTCTCCATCGACCCCTGCCAGCCATCCCAGAACACAACTGCATATAATACTGTCCCCATCAGCGGCAGGCAAGAGTAGCTTTGAGCTCAGACCTGCACCCCACCCAGGTCCAACCAGAATGCCACCTACATGCCCTTCCCAAAAATGAAATCTGGAGTTGCCATCCACAGCTTCCGTCCTACTATCTTTGTCCGGCTAAGTTAACCAAAGTTGGTCAGTGTCTGCTGGACTCCACTTCTTTTTTTTTTCTTTTTTGTCTTTTTTTGAGACTGGGTCTTGCTATGCAGTTCAGGCTGGCCTTGAGCTCACTTTGTAGCCCACTCGAACTTGCAACGATCCTCCTGCCTCAGCCTCCGAGTGCTGGGATTACAGGCCTGAGCCACCACGGCCTGGTTCCACTTCTGAAAACTCAGTCCTCCCATGATCTGAGAAGGGGAAAACAGTGTTTGTCCAGCCCAGCATGTTGCTGTGTGCCTGAAACCCCAGCACTCGGGAGGCTGTGGCAGGAGGGTTTGAAAGCTTGAGGCCAGCCTGGGTTACCTAGTCAGAGGCTGTTTCAACAAAACAAAAAGATAGGCTGTGTGTGCCCTCACACACATACTGCCCTCAGTAATTTGTATTTAGCCTTTGAATCCAAAGAGAAATTGGAGCTAGCCCTGGGGGGTTGTGAATTTTATTAGGGCTCGTCTTTCTAAACAGGTTGAAAATGCTGAGCACGCAGCTCAGGAGAGATCTGGGGCAGCAGAGAAGGCAGCCGGGGTGTTAACAAATGGACTTGGCCTCCTGCTGGTGACTGACAGAGACACCTGGAGCTAGATCTTCATTTTGATCTGCAGAAGCGACCCAGCTTTTGCTTTTCCTATTTCCTCTAATAACCTGGAGCCTGCAGCAGCCACCCGAAGCTTCCCAGCAGCAAATGAAACCACACTTGGCCGAACCTTTGGGACTTACTTTGCTGCCATTGCTTGCAATATGGGATATGTGATTGTGTGATCTCCACCTGCAAAGAGTAAAAAGGAAAAACCAAGGTTTGAGCTGTGGGTAAGATTAGCACATGGAAGCCCAGTGCAGTGGTGTGTGTCTGGAGTCAGCTATTCAAGAGGTTGAGGCAGGAAGATCACCTCAGCCCAAGAGTTTGAGTCGGAGCCCCCATTTCAAAAGGAAAAAAAAAGAAAGAAATTCAACAGAGCTTACCAGCAAATGCCTCAGATAGCTCTGCCCAATAGAATCTTCTGTGATGGTGGAAATGCTCTGTACTGGCCAATATGGTGGCTGAGGAAGTGACTATATTCTAGTAAAGTGTTGCCTTTGATAATTATTAGTACTGATAGCTAACAATTGTTGGAGCTTCAAATAAACCAAGCACAAAGCTAGGCACATCCTATAGGTACATTCTTTGTTTGTTTTTGAGACAGGCTTTCTTCATGCAATTTAGTCTGGTCTTGAACCCCCTCTGTATCCCAGGCTGACTTTAAAGTCATAGTGATCCTCCTGCCTCAGTCTCCCAGGTGCTGAAATTTACAGGCATGCACCACCATGCCCAGCTCTAATTATTTCTGAAAATCAAAATCACCCATACTTGTAATCCCAGCACTTAGGAGGGCCAGATCAATGTAAACTCAAGGTCAGGTTGGGCTACACAGTGAGTTCAAGACCATTTTAAACTACACAGCAGCAAGACCTTGTCCCTCCCCCCTCCCAAAAAAAAATCCAATATGGACAAAAGAAATCAAAATTTAAGAAGAAAAACGAAAAAAGATGAGCCAGGCATGGAGTTACACACCTGTAATCCCAGCACTTGGGAGGCTGAGGCAGGAGGATCACTGTGAGTTTGAGGCCAGCCTGGGCTATAAAAATGATTTCAGGGCCCACTTGCATTATATGAGACCCTGTCTCATATATGAACAAACAGAAAAATCTTGTCTCGAAATAAAAATCAAGATGAGTAACCGCATGGCTTCCAGCCATACTGGAGCCTGAGGCAAAGGGAAAATCAGTACTACTTACTGTTATATTGATCTGGATTATTAACTTTTTGGGCACTTGTTGTTGTTCTGGGGATCAAACCCAGGAGCACCCTGTCAACCAAGATACATCCCCGTTTCTGTTCCATTTTTTTTTTTTTTTTATCAGTACTGGGGATTTAACTCACGACCGCCTGCTTGCAAGGCAGGTGCTTATGTCACTGAGCTAAATCCCCAGCCCCTCTCTTCCATTTTTTGAGGAAGGGTTTTGATGACTTGCCCAGGTGGGACTTGAAATTTCAACCATCCTGCTTCAGCCTCCCTCCATGTGGGATTCCGGCAGTGCTCCACAGTGCCTGAATACCCCTCAATTTTTGCACTAGGTAGATAGTCCATCAGCCCTGACGGTGCTACTATGACCTGAAGGAAATGAACTAGAACGTTCTCTTTCCTGTTTTGCTGCCATCTTCCCTGAGGCCTGCCCTGAAGAAGCAGCCATGTGCCGGATAAACTTGGAGAGCAAGGAACCCCCCTTCCCTGGTGGATGCTGTTACCTAAGGTCAGCGGGACACAGTCAGCCGCGACGATCTTCTCATAGGCCTCTCGGATCAGCCGGCAGCTGTCCCGAAGGTTGTACAGGTTGATGCCCACGTCACCCAGATCGGCCACCGACAGAGACTGGAAGGGGACAGCGCCAGTGCTAGGGTTGACCGCACGCAGCATCACGGATTCCTCCCGAATGCAGCGGGGCCCGAACCTAGAGCAGGATGAAGAGCAGGAGGAGAAGGAGGAGGAGGAGGAGGAAGAGAAGGAGGAGGTGGAGGTGGTTGTGGCCACCTGTGGAGGGGCGAAGGCTCCCTCTGCCCAGGCCTCTGCTCCACGACTCTCCCGAGCCGTGTGCAGGATGAAGCTTCCCTGCCAGACCTTGCTGGCTGAGGTGTTTAGCAGCCTCAGCCTGTACCAGTCAGGCTTCAGCAGTACTTCTTCCTCGAGCCATGACAATCAAAAATATCCTCAGACTTTGCCAGAAATCTCGATCCTCTAGGCTGCAAAATCATCCCCACGGAGAACCACTGATTCTTTTTCTCAGTTGCCTCAAAATGTGCTTCCAAGTCCAAGGGCCCCGATTCAGGATCCCATTCACCACCAATTTATTCATTTAATATTGATTTCTTAATCTCCCTGAGTCTGTTTCCTAATCTGAAAATACTCATAAATTCACACTGCTGTAATTAAATCAGGTAATTTATGCAAAGTGCCTTGCATTCAGTAGACAATGCAGAGTAATACAGTCAGATAAGAACAAAAATTAACTGCAAGTGCTTAGTAACAGAGAAAATAGATTTAACTCCTCTGACTTCATGTTGGGAAAGGCTCCTTAACTTAAGCATGGCAGGAGAGGAGTTAAAACGTTGCTCTGTAGTTCAGGCTGGTCTTGAGCTCACTATGTGGCCCAGGCTAGCTTCGAACTCCCTGGGATCCTCCTGCCTCAGCCTCTGGGATCTGCCAGCATGCCTGGAGCAGGTGGAGCATTTTTCGAGTTAGGTGATAACCAGAGGTTTTGGGAAAGTGCAACTGCCAGCATCTGTTCTCCAGGGCAATGTCCCCTGCCTGCCACTGTGAGACGGGAAGGGGGAATAGCAGGCCCACAGCTGCCATCCTGGTAGGTAAAGGCCCCAGCCGAGGCCCAGAGAAGGCTGGATGAGAGGGAAATGACCTCCCAAGACCGGTTGGGCCCCTGCAGTTGCTTGATGAGGGTTCTCCCCTCCTCATTGGTATCAGGCCGGCCACGTGCCGCCAGCCCCAGTGCTCCAGGCCTTACCTAGCGCCCGGCCGGTTGGAGGTGCCAGTGTCCAGGGGCACCCCGACGAAGGCGGCATCCAGCCCCTCGGGGGAGGCCTGTACCGGCAGGCGCATCATAGAGCTGATGCCCACCGGCCGAGCCACCAAATCGGGGCTGGGAGGCTGGTTTCGGGGGACATCGGAAGCCTGGCGGCAGGGGCTGAACCTCGGGCTGTGCCTTGAGTGGCCAGGCTCCCCTGCAGGACGCACGCAGAACCCGGCGCCCCTGGTCGCCAGCAGCCGCAGCATTGCTGCCTGTGGTCCCTGAGCCAGCGGCCGGGCGGGGGGGGGGGGGGTAGGGGGGGTGAGCACCCCGGAACCGCCCCAACTCAAAGGGCAGGGGCACTGCAGATCAAAACCGCCAGGCTCCAGGGACCTGCGCCTCTCCCCAGCCCCCTCTGGACTTCAGCCTCTGGCTGCTTGGGTAAACAGAGCCCAGTTCAGGCTCTGGGTCCACGCCCACCAGCCTGGCCCCAGCTGCGCCTTGGTCCTGGGTCCCTCAAACCTGGCCTTGGGCAGCCCTCGCGCCCATGCAGAGTAACATTCTTGTTTTTGTAAAGGATGTAACAAAATAGTTTATTCTGAGCCGAATATGACTGACCATGGCTGGAAAACACGGATTCAAGTTACCCTAAATGACATGCTCCCCAAAAGCCCAAGAGATTGGAAAGGGAAGAGAGCCCTCTCCAACCCAGAGATATGGAAATATGCAGGGTTTTTTTTTTTTTTTTTTGTCTTTTTATCGGTACCAGGGATCGAACTCATGATTGCCTGCTTGCAAGGCAGGCGCTTATGCCGCTGAGCTAAATCCCCAGCCCCAGAAATATGTAGTTTTTAAAAATAATGTTAAGAAATTTCTGGCCGCAAACCAGACGTGGTGTTCCACATCTATAATCCCAACACTCTAGAGGCTGAGGCAGGGGGATCGTTGTATATTTGAGACCAGCCTGGGTTACAAAGTGAGCTCAAAGCCAGCCTGAACTGCATAATGAGACCCTGTCTCAAAAAAAAAAAAAAAAAAAAAGAAAAGAAAAAAAATTCTGGTCGGGTATGGCGATACACACTATAATCCTAGCAATCTGGAGGCTGAGAAAGGCGCACCATCAGTTTGAAGCCAGCCTGAACTACATAGCAAGACCTTGGCTCAAAAAACAAAAAAGAAGTGATGCCTTGGTAAATACCTATAATCCCAGCTGCCAAATTCCAGGTCAGCCTGGGCAATCCGAGCAATTTAGTGAGACCTTGGCTGAAAATCAGAAATGAAGAGGGGAGACGTAGCCAAGTTTGAGCCTTTGGGTGCAACCACAGCCCCCAGCACTGACAAAAGAGAAGGAAGGGAGGAGGGTGGGAAGTGAGGGGAGGGGGGGAGATGGAGACAGGAAGAGAGGGAGGGAGGGAGGGAAGGAGGGAGGGAGGGAGGGAGAGGTGGCACGGGTGGGGGCTCATCTCCCAGCCCCTTTATTGTGCCGCTGGAGCACCAATCCTCTTTATTCCTAATAGGAAGAAAGTGTTATAACTCGTGCCCCGGTATAAAATCCAAGGAAACAAGAGACCGAAAATTTAGGTAGCAAAGGCTTTATTTCCAGGCCTGGTGACAAGTCTCTGGGAGCCAATTTGGAGACTGTGTCCCAGAGACTGAAGGGAGGAGTTTAAAAAGAGGCTGGAGGAAAAGGGGTGGGGGGGGGACAAAGAAACCTGCAGAGCCATCAAACTTGTTGACCCGAGTCTGGAAACTGTATTGCTGTCCACTTAGCTCTGACAATCTCGGGAGTTCCTGGTGTTTCTCAAATAACTCCCATCCTACAGACTGACATTATCTCGGAGTGGCACATCTGCAGCAATATTTGGAGAAGAAAGTGGACAGTTAATTATCCCAGGACAGCTCTTTTTCGCTAGTGGGTGTGAAGGGGTCAAGAGTTACAAGAAGCTGAAACTTAAGTTTTAAAAGATCTGATATCTAACTCATTTGATGCATACAGAACAAAACGAAAGCACTGATTGGGGTTTGGGCCATAGTATTTCCCGGTAATTTCTTTGAAGCTAAACAGTTCTTAAAATTGGGGCAGGCTCATTTTATGACAGATCATCACCGGGTTGGGAAGAGGTCACCAGAAACCCAAATTCTTTATGGCCTAGATAGATAGGTGAGGGGAGAGGGAGGCAATAAGGCGCCATACAGAACAGAAAGTTATGTGTCAAGGTCAGGTAAAGGGTTAAACTCATACGCAAATCTCTCTGCACACAAGCAAGTTACTTCAAACAAGTGTAAATTAATGGGCCATTCTAGTTTTCTTTAGCTCTTTAGCGGAGAATAGAGGCGCCTAACAGTGATTAACAACCCTTGTTAGCTTGTTTTAGCACAACTTCTGTAGTTTGTAGAGGGCAACAATGGTTAACATATCAATTAGGTGAGATTCTTGCAATTCTTTACAGAGGAGAGTATTGCTCAACATATCAATTAGGTCACTTAACATATCAGTTAGGGAAAAAGGATAAAAAAAACACATTTAGTAAGTCACATTGCAGGTTTGCTATAATACACATATAACGAAGCTATTTTCTTAGAGTACAACAGAAAGATGACTGTGGGGAAGGAGAGAGGTCATGGAATTGTGTGCATTATTTGGTGACATTGTTTTTTAATCTCTAGCTGCTGAGACGGAATCGGAAAAAGATCCATTAAATCATAACCTCTCTCCGAAGGTCACCATTAAACTCAACGCAGGAACCCTCCACAGGCCACAGGCTGGGACAAAGTTCTCCAGGGTCCACAGCGAGCGCTGGCTGTTGGAAAAGACCTCTCACTGGGTCCCAGCAGTTTTCCAGAACAATAAATCCATCTCAGCTTTTCTCTCGGCACCCAGATTCTACCGTTTCTCTCCTGTCACTTGAGCTTGGACAGATCATTTTCCTACTCCTGATTTTGCTGTGGTTGTCATTGTTTGAGACGGGGCTGGCTTTCGTCGGTCAGGCTGGCCTGGAACTCACTGTGTAGTCCAGGGCATTCTCAAACTTGCTGTGACCCTTCCTGCCTCAGCTTCCTGAGTACTGGGAGGACAAGTGTCTTCCACCCTGCCTGGCTTCTTACTTCCTATTTTGTTTTTCTTCATCTCACAAGTATTTGTTGAAAGCTGATGCCTGCCACAGCACTGTCTCCAAAGCTCTCCCCAGGCGCCTCCTGATCAGATAAAGGCTCCTCTGTCTCTACCCTTCTGATGGCTCTCTGATAGGAATCTCCTTTCATAGTAACAGGACTGGGGTTTTGTTGCTGGGGGCCGGGGTGTTTTTGTTTCCTTTTGTTTTGAGAAAGGGTCTTAATATATAGTTCAGGTTGGCCTTTAACACACTCTATCTGGGGCTGACCTTGAATTCATGGTGATCCTCCTACCTCAGCCTCCTGAGTCCTGGAGTTACAGACCTGCTCCACCATGCCCAGTCAAGGTGACAGTTTGGTCCTACATACAGTTCATTCACAACAAGGAGCAGGGTAGTCTGATGTCCTGCCCTCAGTCCCCACAAGGAGGCATTAAAATCAGCAACTGAGTGCTTGCCACATATCACCACCGATGTCACCTCTGAGGTCACTGCAGAGTGCATGATTGCCCCTCATGGATAAGGGCCCAGGCCACTTCTGGAGAGCTGGATTCCAGAGATTCCAGGAGGGTAACAAACCCAGTGGGACCAGTCAAGAGGTGGAAATTCAAAGAGATGGGCGTGGTTTCCAGCCAAAGGGACTCCAGGTTATCCATGGTGGTCGTCCATATCATCAGATACCTCTCCAGAGGGCTGTGAACCGTTTCAGCAGAATCTAAACTAACTGCAGGGTAATGGCTTTAACAATGACCACCAGCAGGATATTAACCAATCAGAAGAGATGTCAGCTGGCTAGGGCAGTAAATGTCATTGCATACCAAGTAGGCAGCAAACTTTTTTTTTTTTTTTTTTTGGTCTTTTTGAGACAGGATCTCAATGCAGTTAAGACTGGCCTTTATTGAACTCACTTTGTAGCATGATCCTCCTGCCTCAGCCTCCTGAGTGCTGGGATTACAGGTGTGAGCCACCACGCCCAGCTCAAACTTTTTTTTTTTAATTCTAGAGAATTTGTTTTGTTTTGGAGACAAGTTCTGCTTCTTGATGATATCAACTTCTTTTATCCAGATACCAAGTAATTGGCCCTCTTCACTCCTGGCTGATCTAAAATGAGCCCTCTAGGGCAAGAGAAAACAAAGGGAGAACAGAAATTAGCTACAGGAAAGCCCATCGCATGAGGGTAGTGCAGTTTCAGAGTGAGGCCAGAAGAGGGCGCAGGAAACTTCCGCTTGATCATTAACTAGAGAGCCTAAATTTAGTAGATGGAGGTTTCCTTCAGTCAGGTGACACAGTTTGTATCTGCCTCTTTCTTTCCTTCTTTCTTTGTTTCTTTGTTTCTTTCTTTTTCTTTTTCTTTCTCTCTCATCCTCTCTGTCTCTGTCTCTGTCTCTCTCTCTCTTTTCAGAATTTACCGTGTATCCCAGGCTGGTCTCAAACTCATCAGGATCCTCCTGCCTCAGCCTTAGAGTTTACTTATGAAGTGACTCAGAAAGCCTCTAAAGGTGACAGTTGACTCAGTTTGATTTTATTCTGAGATCTCAACAGCGTGGTTTATACAGTAGGTTATCTTTTTTTTTTTTTTTTAGTGCCAGGAATCAAACTCATGACCTTGGGCATGCCATGCAAGCGCTTGTACCTGACTTAAATCCAGCTCAGAGTAAACTATCTTAATACAATCTTTGCACTAATGTTTTCTTGAAAAAAAATTTGAGATTTGTTTTCAAGCCCCGGCCAGTCTCCTCTCCATCTGCTCCAGGTCGCATTTCTCTATGCCGCTATAAGGGTGCCAGGAGCTGCTTCTCCTCTTGCTCAGCGTGGGGACCATAACCCAGTTTGCCTTTGCAGCAATTAAGTAGCATTGGCATCAGCCTGGGCCTTGGAGAAAGAAGCATCAGACAGATCTGAAGACTGATTATCAATTATAAACTGCAGAGCCGGCTAAGTAGATCCGACTCGGCTTACTAGGAAGACTGGGCACGCAATAATTGATGACTAAAGGGAGTAAGCCAAGGTTCTAAAGTAACACAAAGCTCAGGGACACGTGGGAAATGCTGCCTGGGCAGATCTATGGGCTAAATAATGCTAGCTGGGCAATTAAACCAGGAAATGTCAGGACCCCGTGTTCAGAGCGTAAGAATGCCTGAAGGATAGATGGAGAGCTCAGACAAATGCGGTGCAG